TAAGGAGGACATTTTTTGACACTGCAGATATTTGAACTGCCTGTAACCACTATCTAACACTGCACCTATGTTACTTTTCTAATCCTGACTTAATTTCATAATAGTCTCATATTGATCTGAGTATATTAAATAGAATTTCCTATTTATTTAAGCACATAGCACAGGCCTTTGTCACATGTTTTTTTGACAATGACAACACGGACCCAAAGTACCCCTTATCAATTCTTTACTAAAGCTGAGTTTGACATGGTTTCTGCAATAAATGAAACATACAGCCATTAATTCTGCTGTCAATGCACATTACAGTCAGTATATGTAACTGCTAACAAAATATCAAGCAATAATTCCCTTTAATACAAATAAACAATGTGTTTTAATACGAATGAATTGTGAGGTCTGTTACAATGAAAGTATAAAAATAACATGTGTCCTTTAATCTAGCAAGAAAGGCAAAGGAACAGCCAACAAAGGAGAGGCGTCCATCTAAGTGGAGGTGCTAAACATGTGAGCTAACTTGCTAGCTTGCTTAATTAGTGCAGTCATGATAAACATACTGTCTACAATGTAATGCACAGTTATATATTTTTGTATATTACACAATCTGAAATGCAGTGCAATATATGTATAAGCTGCGAACCATTAATTGTGTCAGAAAACTATTCGCAGCACCTCTCTAATGCACACATACCCTGACTCAACTCAGGATGAGGTTGCTACCACGTGCTTGCAGCTGAGGACCCAGATAGGACCTAACAGCACTAGAGGCGGCCCTAGCTATGCCTGACTGGGGAATTTAGTACAGACAGGTTGTGTAATCATTAAGGTCATAGTTCCCTTTACGCTACTCTTAAAACTGCAGTCTCACAACCTTAAGAAACTTTACTTGTATCTCTCAACAGGGTGAACAGGCTGTGGCTGGGGTGTGTGCTGCCTTTTAGTATCCTTTGGGGTCTGCACAGGCACCTCACCTGACCAATATCATATACTGTTACTATTAGCTGACTGTACCTTTGGCACATAACCATAAGGACATACTTATAGCCAGACTTAGAGCACGGCAGCGGGCCCACTCAATCCACAATGAGATGCTCAAACAGTTAGGTTCAGCTTTCTGGTAAAGTGGCACATATGATACATTTTAACATATGATGCAACACTCTTTTTCATCTATGTCAAATTTTCCCTTCAAGCACAAATCATTCGGCTGCTCCTAAAACAACTCGTCTGGTGACACCAACAGTTGAAAATCTGACAGAGCTGGAAATCAGCATCATGAATGAATATGAATTAATTATTGCAGAATGAAATTAGAAGTGCCAAAGCAAATTTATTTATTACTTTTTTCGCTGACAAAGACAAAACATAGCCTGCATTTCAGTGTGTCAGATCAGAGATTAAGGAACTAACTGTGATGTTAATGAGTGCCACTAAGCTGCGCTGTTGCATCTTGAATCACTGCCATTCAAAGGCTCCAAGGAAATCTGCCTGGTATCAGTGCAGACAGGAGAGACGATCCCTAGAACAGACAGGGTCCTTGCCCCACTACTGCTACCCCCAGTAGCCTCTTCTTTCTCCTGTTAGGCATGGACCTACTGCCTTGTACAGTAGATCCCACCCACACCCAGAAGCAGGCTCCTAGGGATAGCAGCACTAAAGAACTGTGTTGTATTCTGAATAACTCTGTGCTGACTCAGCACGTCCTGGATCCCACACACAATTAGGGGAACAGTCTCGACTTAATCGTCTCCAAAGGTTTTAACATTTCTTTCTTTCTTTATGATCATCACTGTGTTTTCTAGTCAGGGGGCTGACACTAACTTTACACTAAATTGAATGGAACTTTAATTAGTTATCATTGGCAAAACCTGTGTTTACCCGACTATTTCATGTCAAAATGGCGAAAAAGGTCTATCCTCCTACTAATGTAGTCTCTGGTAAGAATATAAGAATAAATAAAGTCTATTTGGACTTCTATTATTTAAGTTTTCTAACAGTTTGTTCACAAGAGGTTTAACTCACTGGTGTATAATTAACCCCAAGTAGACATCACCATGTAGGAGAACATTATTTAGCTATATTTCTTTGTAAATGAATTTTGGCAAAAAATAACATACCTCTTTTTCTGAGATTCTTGTGCAAAAAGTTTAAGAGACTTTCCCTCCATTCATGTTGGTCTGCCTTGATCCACTATCTCAACTGAGAAAGATTACAAATAATTTTCATCCTCACTTTGTGGTTAGAATTCTATGTTCTGATTCATACCAAATAAACTTGTTCACACCCAGTGAATAAATAAATGTCTCTGATGGAAACAGGGACATATACTTGTGCAAATACTTCTGCTTTCTCCAATAAGAATTCAGTATTCAATAAAAATCAGCAATTTGATCTGTTTCAGTTCTCAACCCAACCGCAGAAAACATTCAGGCAACTAAAATGACTTGGTCTACAGTATTAGACTATATAACTAGAAACTGGATCATAATAAAGGCTATTACCAGAAGTAAAAAGCTAAATGAACCACGGTCCACCATGTTCGCATCCACCCACAACTTTCAGCTAGTAATTCAAATCTAAGTTTGAAAGTTTGACTTAGTTATAATAGGCATAGTTTGTAAGAGTGTGAGTATAAACACAACAAGGCTGTAGAGGCACATTAGTGAGAAGATAAGTCTCTGTGTTCAGCGTGCTGACATAATGTCACCGACAACCTCTGTTATCTTATCGCAACTGCCTTTTAAAGTAAAAGCTTCAGAGTATGGGTGGGTATTTTACTGAACATATTTTTGTAATAGAACAAATATTAATGAATGAACTGATCCATTTATTAATTAATGAATAGTTGAATAACATAAAACAAAATAGTATATCCAGTTATTTATATACATACAGTAGATATATACAGATATACACCCAGGAAATAATTCTGCTGTGCAACTATTAAAGTCCACATGAAATGCAAATGTGCTATTCGCTTCCACATATTTCCTGGCAGCTATGGAGGGATTTGTCACAGTAGCCTTTAGCGTTTTATGTTACATCCCCCCGATCAAGCGGCTGTAGCAACCCCATTAGCTGACTCTGCCAGACTGGGAGTGCGACCATTGAACGACAAGACCGGGACTGAATGCAGCATCTGATGCCGACGGGAGGCCAGTTTGAAAACAGGGGAATACCCAAGTACCCAAGTGTTTTTGCTGGGTTTGGCTCTAACTAGTTTAAGATTAACTGTTGGCGACAGTGTTAACTGGGAGGCTACTGAGCCCCTTTCGGTTGCATGCCAGCTGCAGCTACATTAGCAATTAAGGCAGAGCAGCCGGTGGAATACAAAGCACAACCTCTGTATCTGTAATTCGGCGTGGAAAAACTGGAATCAATATTTTATGTTTAAAATGAGTTGGTAAGTGTTTTTGATGTCTGA